CCATCCGGGTAACAAGGCACATGAATGATACGATAACTGTTATCCTAAGACATGTATAATGCATCTAAAATATTTCTACGCATTTTGTCAGTCCTATATTACTTTTCCCTGTATTCTGAAACGAATCACCGAAGCATATCACGACCGTTGTCATAGGCTTATGTACAGGAACACAGAAAAGTTCACTCTGGTAACATGAACGTCAGTGTCTATTTCTTCAAGTTGCACTCTTTCTAACCGATGTAAAAGTTTAAACACTATTGTTTTAAATGCAGAAAAAAACCTCCAACGGTGTAATTATCTGAGTGCATCTGAGTATTGTTAACGACAAATATACAAAATCATTCATTTTCCATGCAAACGTTGCCGTCACGTTGCTTTACAAGTTACTTTTTTGTATCTTTTCTTTCTAAGCGAGCTATACACAAGCTATGTATTCAGTTATACAAGAACCACATAATGTCGTTTACAGGGCGCACATGTATTCAGTTATTCAAGGACCACACAATGTCATGTATAGGGCGCACAAGTTTTCAGTTATACAAGAACCACGTAATGTCATTTACAGGGCGCACAAGTTTGATATCGATATCTATGTTGCTTAGTTAATGGTCACGTGACATAACGAAAAGCGCACATAATCCCGTAAGGTCACATACATATCGGTGGCGCAATGTGTCTACTATTTTATAGTGTAAAACTTGTACCGGGTAAGAAAAGATGAAATAAAGACACGAATTTGGTGTGCATTTTCCACCGTTTACCAAAGCGAAACATGCGTGGTTTAACAGTAACCTTCAAGGAAAACTACTAGCTTGTTAAAGAATAGGGTTTCAGTTGATGTGATAGGTAAGGTTTTGCGCTGTTTTCAAGCTATCGACATAACAATCAATGTACAGCTTAGTGTTTGCAAGATTTTACAGTAAGATACCTAACAATATACCTCAAAACTACGATTATATATCATGAATAGCAGCAATATGAAGGGTAGTTTGTAACTAATCAGTATCCCACGCTTGCCTTTATATCACCATGTAACTAATTACATCAGTATCCCATGATTGCCTGTATATCACCATGTAACGTATTACATCAGTATCCCATGATTGCCTGTATATCACCATGTAACGTATTACATCAGTATCCCACGCCTGCCTGTATATCACCATGTAACGTATTACATCAGTATCCCACGCCTGCCTGTATATCACCATGTAACGTATTACATCAGTATCCCACGCCTGCCTGTATATCACCATGTAACGTATTACATCAGTATCCCATGATTGCCTGTATATCACCATGTAACGTATTACATCAGTATCCCACGCTTGCCTGTATATCACCATGTAACGTATTACATCAGTATCCCACGCTTGCCTGTATATCACCATGTAACGTATTACATCAGTATCCCACGCTTGCCTGTATATCACCATGTAACGTATTACATCAGTATCCCACGCCTGCCTGTATATCACCATGTAACGTATTACATCAGTATCCCACGCCTGCCTGTATATCACCATGTAACGTATTACATCAGTATCCCACGCTTGCCTGTATATCACCATGTAACGTATTACATCAGTATCCCACGCTTGCCTGTATATCACCATGTAACGTATTACATCAGTATCCCACGCTTGCCTGTATATCACCATGTAACGTATTACATCAGTATCCCACGCCTGCCTGTATATCACCATGTAACGTATTACATCAGTATCCCACGCCTGCCTGTATATCACCATGTAACGTATTACATCAGTATCCCATGCTTGCCTGTATATCACCATGTAACGTATTACATCAGTATCCCACGCTTGCCTGTATATCACCATATAATGTATTACATCAGTATCCCATGATTGCCTGTATATCAACATGTAACTAATTACATCAGTATCCTATGATTGCCTTTATATCCCCATGTAACTAATTACATCAGTATCCCATGATTGCCTTTATATCACCATGTAACGAATTACATCAGTATCCCACGCCTGCCTGTATATCCCCATGTAACGTATTACATCAGTATCAATGAATTTGCCTTTATATCACCATGTAACTAATCAGGATCCCACGCCTGCCTGTATATCACCATGTAACTAATCAGTATCCCACGCGTGCCTGTATATCAACATGTAACTCATTACATCAGTATCCTATGATTGCCTTTATATCACCATGTAACGTATTACACCAGTATCCCATGATTGCCTGTATCTCACCATGTAACGTATTACATCAGGATCGCACGCTTGCCTGTATATCACCATGTAACTAATCAGTATCCCACGCGTGCCTGTATATCAACATGTAACTCATTACATCAGTATCCTATGATTGCCTTTATATCACCATGTAACGTATTACATCAGCATCCCATGATTGCCTGTATATCACCATGTGACTAATTACATCAGCATT